GTGCTTTGCTAAGTTTTGAGGTCTTCCACATTGGATTCTCCTCACAGTTCTTGAGGTCATCACCATTAAATGGTTGTCTGGGCCTCCTCACTTTATTCTGCACCAGTCCATACAAGTCTCCCCGTTTCTCTCAAACCATCTCCTTCAGCATTATTTAGGGCCTAATAATACTCCATAACATGTATATCTCATAATTTGTGCAGCCAGTTTCCCCAATTCTGTTTACAATTCTTTTATCACCAGAAAATGCTTGTAAATCTGCCCATCCCCAGGGGCATCCCTACATTTCTGGGTTCTCTATTGAGTTCATGCCAAAGGGTGTATACTTTGTTGGTGGCTTTTTGAATATAGTTCCAGATTGCTTTCCAGAATGGTTCCACCAATTCCCAGCTCACCCACCAGTGGTCTCCCACAGTCTCCCCAACGCTTGTCATCGTTGGCATTCTGATAGGTGGAATATTAATGTCATGGCTTAAAAGAATAAGCAGCATGGGGATAAATTCTTTAGTGTGATTTTCCTACTATGTGTAGGAAAAAGCTATAGCTTTCGGTTTGGGTTTTTTTTTTTCTCCCCTAAATCTGGACATGCGATTTGAGCTGGTGAAATCTGCTGTGGAAAGTCCCTCCAACAATGCAGGTGGGGCAAGTCTTCAATAACTCCAACCATTTCCTGGGGAAGCTAGGAAGTCTCAAAGCCCCTTCCCGTGTGTAAGATGGGGGAGTCTGGGCTAGCCAGCAGTCAGCTGGGGGTTCGGGCTAGAGACTGAGGGGTGGAACCTGGCAAATCAGTGAATGGGTTATTCGGCTGCATTTAGCTGGTCTTGAATGTAAGGTTTCTGAAAGGGGAGGGATAGGCAGGGATTACAGTCTAATCCTTTCTAGGTCCTTGGGTGCTGCGTTTTGACTGAGTCCAAGTTGTATAGAACGAATCCTTTTATGAAGGGGATTTGTTCAGTGAAATTTGGATTCAGTCAGAAGGTTGTACTTGAGGACTTAGAGGGCCATATGTGGCCTGGAGGCCACAGATTCCCTACCCCTGGATGAGACCAACTAGCTGGAAAGTAAGTAGCCACTAAGCCTTTCCTTGGCCCCGGAAGCTAATGCATCAGCAGTCACGGACAGCTGACACCAAGGCCATCCTGAGACTCCTCAGCCTCCAGACCCTCCCTCAGTGCCAGCACAGCCATCCCCCTGGGTGGTCAGGCAGGGGGCACACAAGTCTCCCTCAGGGCGCCCTGGCTGTATTGGAAGAGGGGATGATTGCATGGGCAAGCAGATGGAGAAGATTCAGTCAAGGGCACATATGGAGGAATTGGCTTTGACCAGGACAAAGTCCACCTTGTCAGACTAGAGAAAAGGAGAAATTGGGGTATGCCAAGGAGTATGGAAATGAAGCTACTAGAGACTGGCCTCTATTGTCTCAACCAAGTGTGATGTAAAGACCTAGAAGAGGTGGGGTGGGGGGTGGGGTGGGGAGAGCAAATTGGGAATAGCTGCTGGTGGAGTGTGGGCTACACCATTCTGGAGGAGTGCAAGGCCTGGAGTCACCATCAAGGAAGATGCCTTAGCTTCAACTCTTCTGATGATATGAGCGACCTTGCCCAAGTGGGGTCACCTCCCTGCAGCTCTGTTTTCTCATCCGTAAAATGGGAAGGTTGGCCTCTAGAGTCCCTTCCAACTTTCAGTCTTGATCTATGATCTTAGGAGCAGACCCAGTCAGGAGGATCAGAGGAATAATCATTTTGTTTTTTATATTACCTTAAGTTTGCCAAAGCATTTCCTTACATAAGAGCAGAGATGTTAGCAAAATTCTGAAGGAGCACGGCACAGAATTCAAGTTCAAAGAGGCATCATCGACTAGTCTGAGCCGTATTGTAAAGGGATTCCCACTGTAACATAGTTTGTCTATTGGCATCTTCCTCCCATGGTTCTGCCCCTAGCTGGCTCCAAGGTCCAGCCAGAGTCTTTATTCAGGTTAAGAACTCCCCCTTCCTTCTTCCAGCCCTGGGCCATGTTTTTGTCTACTGCCTTGCTGCTTGCTTTCTTTCTTTTTTGGTGAGGCAGTTGGGGTTAAGTGACTTGCCCAGGGTCACAGCTAGTAAGTTTCAAGTGTCTGAGGCTGGATTTGCCTTGCTGCTTTCTCAGCCCAGAGGCCATGGCCTGGCAGTTCCTTGTCTGTCTGGGTGGCCCTGTCATAATCCTTAACTGTCTCCTTTCTCACCAGCTACCTCAGAGTTGCCTCAGTGGCACCATCTGATGTGTCCTTCCAACCCCACCCTCCCTTTCTAGTTCAGATAACCCAAATTCATCCAACCCTGCTGACTTATGGTTCCACTCAGTATCCCTGTGACTTTCTAAAGTTAAATAGCCACTCCTTGGCCACCCAGAAGACCTGGAACTCTGGGATCCCCAGAGTTTAGCCAGGTACCCAGTCAGTACCTTAATCAAGGATTTGTCAAAATATGTGGACTCCACCATTACCCTGCAATGTTCTTCCCAAAATGGAACCCACTTCTCCCTGCTGCTGGAAGCCATGCCTGGACTTGCCACAAAGTTTGAGTAGTCTCTGTGGCTGCCACATCATGTCACACTGCTTACTTGCATCGAGCTAGCTGTCCACCAAAACCCCCAGATCTTTTTCAGATGAAGAAACAGCATGGAGTGCTGGACTTGGAGACAGAGACAGGAAGAGGAGTTCAAATCCTGACTCAGACACTTCCTAGTTGTATAGGAAGGATGGGCAAGTCAATAGACCTTGGATCTGAACTTGCAATGTAACCAGGAGGCCTCCGATTCTCTGATCTGATGACTTGGGCCTCCTTAATCTTCTACTTTGTGCTCTGATAGAATTTCCTGTCATTCGGTTCAGCCCAATGCTGGAGTGTAGCAAGATCCTATTGGATGCTCAGGCTGCCCCCCACTGTGTCAACTCTCCTTCCCAGGCTGAGCAGATCATTGATGATTTTAAGTAAGAAAAATGTTAACTCCCTTAAAAGTCTGGATCAAACAAATGGGTTAAGTGGGAGTGGAGCCCAGTTCTTCTCCTGTCTTCAAGCCCAACACTATTCACTATGTCTCTGATCATCTGTTAGGTGCCTTCCAATTCAGTGGCTCCAAGCTGGCCCTTCTCTATCAATATCTGGGCTTAGTAGGTGTCCTGGGCACTAACCCTAAAACTAAAGGCAGCAGGGGGAATGGATAGAATGGTGAAATGGGGGACACAAAGGTCAGGCTCAGATCCTCTTTGTATTTGGTAGTTGGAATTCTGGGTAAATCACCCAGCGTTCTTGAGCTCAGGCTCCCCCATCTATTAAATGGGAAGAGCACTAGTAGAGGTGCTTACGTCACAGCCCTAGTGTGAAGCTCCAGCATCCTTCCGTCAATCCCCATCCTTTTTTACTTCTCCATAGCCTCAGTCACCTCCTGGATCCTCCTTTTTCTCTAGGTTTCCAGGACATGCCTCTCTCTCTTCTGCTCCTTCTCTGTCTCCTTTGCCGGCTCCTTCTCCAGATCTCACCCTCTAACCCTAGGGGTCCCCTGGGCTCTGTCCTGGGCCCTCTGCTCTTGTCCCTCTATCCTACTTCCCATGGGGACCTCCTCAGCTCCTGTGGATTGAATGGCCAACTATCTCTATGCTGAGGATTCTCAAATCTCCCTTTCCTGCCCCAGCCTCTCTGCTGACCTCCGATCTCTGCCTCTCAGACACCTCAAACCCGATGTCCAGTAGGCACCTGAAACTCCACATGTCTAAAACAGAACTCATCTTCTTTCCTACCCCCGCGCCCCACCTTCCCTGTTGCTATAGAGGGCAACACCATCCTCCAAGGTCTGCTGTTTGGAACAGCTCTCGAATATGCCCCCTTCTCTCCTCTGACGCTGCCCCCACCCTGGTGCAGACCCTCAGCCACTGCAGTAGCTGCTGGGGGATGGGGGCTGCCTGCCTCAAGCCTCTCCCCGTTCCAGTCCTTCCTCCATTCAGTCACTAAAGTGAGTTTCCTAAAGCACGATCTGACCAGGTCACTCCCTTACTCAATAAACCCCAGTGGCTCCCTAGGGGCTCCAGGAGCAAATACAAGATGGTCTCCTTGGCGTTCAATGCCCTTCATGCCCTGCCCCCTCCTCCCTTTCCAGTCTTGCCGGACCTCACTCCCCCACCCTGGTCCCCTTCCATCCAGTGACTCTGGCCTCCTGGGTGTTCCATCCCCTCCATCTCTGGGCTCTGGGCCTGGAACGCTCTCCCTCCTCTGCTCCGACGACTGACCTCCCCGGCCTCGGCCGAGTCCCACTTCACACTGTCCCCCATCCCTCTTCTCCAGGGAGCCTACCCCAGGCCCCCTCATTCCAGGCCTTCCCTCCATTACTTATTTCCTATTCGTCCAGCCTAGAGATTGCTTGTATGTATGTTTGCCTGTGGTCTCCCCCATTAGACTGGGAGCTCCCTGAGGGCAGGGGCTGGCCTTTGCCTTTCTTTGTCTCCCTAGCACGAATGTAGGGTTAGAGTCCCAGTGCCTGGCAAAATCAATGCGGCCTGCCAGGCTCTCCCGCAGTCTAGAGCGTACGAGAAGCGCCCTCTAGAGGATAGCAGCTGCAGGAGCAGCCGGTGTCGCTCGGGCCGGCCCGGGGCCTAGCAGGTAGTTCGATCGTCGGAGCTGCGGGGGGAGGGGCAAGGGGCACTGGGTCTGGCTGTACCCCCCAGCCGCTGGCCTCTGCGGCCCGGAAGGTCGGGAAAAGCCCCCAGGAAGTCCCACGAGGCGGAAGATGAGGCTCTCCAGCGAGGCTACTATTCTGCACTTTTCCCCGCCCTCCGGCCCAGCCCGTCTGGCCCCTCCCCTTTTCCCCGCCCACCGGCCTCCACCTTCTCCAGGGAGGGTACAGAGGGCGGGCCGAGGGAGGGCTCTCGAGATTTGGAAGTCTTCTCGCGTGAGCTCGGGAACCAATTGGCTCTCCCAGACCCGGCCAGCCGGCCAATCCCGTTCGGGCGCCTGGTAGCTGGGGCGGCGGCGGCGGTGGCGGCGGCGGCGCTGGTGCGGAGCTGTGCTTCGGGACTTTCTCCACATCTTCGGAGGGGCCGCTTCCACAGGCGAGTGGCCCGGTAGGGCAGCGCGAAGCTTCGCCGGCTCGCTACTGGAGGGAACTGAATAGGCCTTGGTCCAACACTTTGATTTTAATTTTTTTTTTATTTCTGCCCCTCCCCCTCCCCGCTGGAGCAGAGACCTAAGAGGGTGAGCTATCATCTCGCGATACTTCTTTCTACTCGCGTTTTTAGTCCCCACTCCCTGCTTTGCTCCGCCTTTTTAAGCCTCGCGAGAATTCGTCAGAGGAAAAGGCTCAGCGAGCTAAGTGCTGAGGGAAAGCCAGTAGGAAGGTCTAGGGCGACCGACTTCTCGCGGAATTCCCTCTCTTCTTCCTGCTTCGTTCGCCCCGCCTTCTTCCCAGGTCTCGCGACACTTCTCGTTAGCTGTGGCTGTGAGAGAGCCTGAAGGGCTAGGCGGGAGAACCTTCTGCTGCTTCCCTTGACCCCCCCGACGCTTCGGGAGATCGTGGAGGCCTGGGGGTGCGGGAGCGCGCATTTAGGGATCGGGAGGTTCGTGGCCGAGCGCGGAATACCGACACGCGAGATCGCCGCCGCCATTGCCACGGGGGGGGTGGGGAAGGCCTAAGTTCGGGAGGTCCCAGGCGAGGGTTAGTGGGGGCGAACCAGGGCGGGGTGGGGGAGGGGCGGTGCGGCGGAACCGAACAAGGAAGCGGCGGGCGGGTGCGCGCTCCGGCCCCGCCCCCGCCCGCTTAGGCCGCATCTCGCTACGAGCTCGAGGGCGGCGGCGCGCGCGGGGGGGAGGGGCGGGGGGAATATCCTAGTCCGAGATCTCGCGGGAGTCCCCTCCTCCGCGCTAACTCCCACCCTTCTCTGGGTGAGATCTCGCGGGATCCGACGGGAGGCCGAGCGAGCAGAAGGGCGGGAGGGAGGACGGACGGCGGACTGGCAGCGTCGGAGCCAGGGCCGGCTGCTGTTAAGATGGCGGCGGCGGCTGGCTGTGAGGCCCTGGAGTGAAGCCGCTGCGGGCCGCGCCGCTTTCCCCGCCCAGGGCTCCTCGGCGAAGCCAGGTAAGGGCGGCCGGGGTCCCTCCCGCCCCCTTTTCTCCCTTGCCCTTCCTCCGTCTTTCTCCCCCTCTTTGGAGTCAGGGCCCCTGCCTGGGTCGTCTCTGCCACGTGCGGGCGGGGGTGGGGGGGCCGCGGGAGGCGGGGCCTCTTCCCGGTATTTTCACCCGTCCCCTCGAAGGCACGTGGTGCCCGCCGCCGCCTCTGTGCGGAATCCATGGTAGTCACCGCCCAGGTGGCCCCGAATTTCAGAAGGGGGGGGCCGCGTCCTGGGCCCAAGACTGAGGCACCTAGAAGCTGACGAAGGAAATCTCGGCTATGACTTCTCCCCACTCTGAATTCCATTTGACTTATTTCCCATCACACCCCCCCCAGTGCCCTGCCCTGATCTAGATCCCCTCTAGAACATAAGCCCGATGGCCCAGCTGCCTTTGGGCCTTAAGGGAGCCCCATCCTGAAGCCTCTTCTGATATCTGCTCCTCAGTTCTTATAGATTTGTCTGTCATGCAATTTTGGGGAGCCTCACTCCTGTTAGCTCTCCTGGAATCTTCTCCGATCTCCTCTCAGGATCTCCTGAGTGAAATTGTTCCCATTGTTTGACCTGGAGCCTCGATCTAATACTTTTCCTTTCAGTTTGGGAGGTCCTCGTTCTTTGCAATCATCAGAGGGCCTTCTCTGTGTTTACTATTTTGCCATTTTCAAAAGCATTTGCCCTTTGTTTCAAGCTTAAGTGTTTTTTGCCAGACTGCCCGTAGTACCTGTCTCACCAAGGTTTTTGGATCCATTGAGGTGGTGGATAGCTAGTTCTTGCCCAATCTTGGCAACATAACATATAAATGAAAACTAGTAGGTATCTTAGTGGGGATGATGGTGTTGCTTTCTAACTGTTTGGCTCGGGTTGGAATTCATATTGCCCTTTAGTTATGAAGCACTGTTGGGGAAACAGCAGGGTCAAGATGAAGTAGATATAAGTAAGAAATGAACTTTGGGTGCCTTCAGCCAGATGGCTATGTAGGAACTTGGGTTTAGAAGCTTTGATTTGAGAAGTAGGCACTTTTTAAAAAAAAAGTGGTTAGGCTGGGATTGAATAGAGGGCCCCTTTGGAGCCTCTCTGCCTAAGCGTTGAAGATAGAAATGGCCTATTTTGAAGGCCCAAGCATTGATTTTAAGTTGAGAGCAACTGGGTTAAACCATGGTTTCGAGGTAGGTGTCATCTGCAATTTTGATGCACTGGGCCTAGGTAGGTGTGGTATAATGTGTTCTAGGTTGAATGTGGCAATCTGGGAGGGCAGCTACGATGAGTTTGTCTTAGAGAATGTAGTTATGCTAAGATCACTTTGGAACTAGGTGATCATCAGAAATCTTGGTCAGGGCCAGGTGTACTGAACTGATCATATCTGAAACTTGACCTTCCAAAGGCTCAACTTTGATCCTTTAGTACAGCCTTCAACGATGAATGGTGGGTAAAGTGGAGGAAATTGTTTCTGTAAGATGGTTCTTCTGGTTTCCCCAAAGGTACCCATAGTCTCAGTGTGTTGTGGGGTCACAATGAATTGAGACTAAGGGCTGAGTTGCATGTGCTCCTGAGGGTGCTTTGATAAATCTACCTTTGGAATCTTTACTGAGGGGGCTTGGGGTATGGCTTTTGTAGCATTGGGGAGAATTGAGTTGTTGAATTACTGCACGATGCCAGTTGTAAAACTAAGGGCATTACCTTAAAACTGGTAGTATTGAAATCGGTATAACTGGGGAATGTTGTCTGTTTTCTTGTAGGCCCTGAGCTGTAGAGCACCGTGCAGACATTAGCAACTGGGTCTTCGAAGGCTCTGGAAGGTGTTGGCTTGGGGATTGATTCAGCACTTCATCCTGAGCCCATTATGGATTGGCTGTGATTTTAGGTTTGTTTCCACGGCTCTATGTGTGTCTGTGTTTGTGTGTGTTTGTCCCTTTTCTGGACAAAAAGGGGAGGAGGAGTACATCAGGCTCCTCTTCATTTATTGAATTGCTTTGAAGGTTGATGTGGCTTGGGATCTGATGTGGGATCACAGGGTTGAGTCCACTTTTCAGTCTCTTCCTGAACTTCCTTTGTCAGAGGCCGTAAGCATTTATTAAGTTTGTGCTGTGTGTGTGTTAAGTGTTGGGGATACAAAAAAAAGATAAGAGACCATCCATGTCCTTAATTCCAAGGAGGAGGCAACAGAGGTGGGGGTTGGGCACCTGGTCCTGAAGCCCGGGAGAACCAATTTAAAGAGGTGCATGCGGCAGAGTCAGTATCACCTCGAAGATTGTCCAGAAAAGCATCCAAGTGAGGAAGCTGCAGAATTACGTAAAGCTCTTTATCTAAGTCCCACCATAGCCTGTCTTTTGTGTCTTTTTTTTTTTTAAGTAAGAAATCCCTGTCCTTTTTGATAGAGTGAGGCTTATTAGTGGAGGATTTTTGAGGCCTTACTTTGACGCTGGTGAAGCTTACTGGCTCACTAAGCATTATAGGTACTTAGCCAGTGTTCGGATTCTAGCTGATGCCTGCCCATCTGCATGGCCAAAATGTCATTAGATTGGCTTTAGGGGCTTTTGTTCATGTTGCCTCAAGATTGGCTTATCTGCTACTTCTAGCCAAGGGTTCTAGATTCTGAAGAACTTGTAACAATTGCTTCTTCTGGTCTGCTCTGAGAATCTGATGTCTTCCTTCATTTGGGCTATCTTTGGTGGCATTGAGGTGCTTCTAACTCTGCAGAGATTAGAAGGCATTCTAAACTTGGGTGGGATGGAGGCTGGAGATGAAGTTTCCCTTAGGGATTCAGAGACTTCACAAATGCCTATAGCATTGTGAAGCAGTCACTTAGGAATGATTAAGGTACCAGGTGATTGTACTCTTCATCAGAAAGCAGTAATGTGGTCTCAGGCTTCACTGGAAAGCAAATAGAGGATTTTATATTTGATCCCATGCAGTAGGGAGCCATTGAAATTTCTGGAGCAGTGAAGTGATAATTGCTTAGTGTGGAGGCTATTTTGGAGAAGGCAGAGACTTTTTAAAAAGGGTCAGTCTGTCAGTTTGAATTTATTATGCGCCTGCCTTCCTGTTTACAATTTAAGAGAGATGACATGCAAATAGCTATGTAGATGAGATAAATAGGAAATAATCAGCAGCAGAGGGAAAGCACCAGGATTCAGTGGGATTGGAAAGACTTCCTGTAGCTAGTGTTTGAAGGGAGCCAGAAGGCAAAGATAAAGAGGGGAGAGCATTCCAGGCATGGAGCACAGCCAGAGAAAGTGCCTAGAGCTGAGAGAGGTGTTTATGGAACAGCTTAGAGGCCAGTGTCACTAGATCAAAGAGTGTGTGTCAGGGAGTAAGGTGTAAGGAGACTGGAAAGGTAGGAGGGACCAGGTTCTGAAGGGCTCTGAATGCCAAGTATTTTGTATTGAGCAGGACCTGGTGAGACCTGTGCTAAAGCATTTTAGTGGCTAAATGGAGTGTGCATTGAAGTGGAGAGAGACTTGAGGCAAGCAGATTCAGCTGCGGGCTGTTGCAGTAATGCAGGTGTGAGGTGATGAAGGCCATGTCAGCAGAGAGAAGGAATGTATGTGAGAGAAGGTGCTGAGGTAAAGTGGCTAGGCCTTGGAAACTGATTGGATATAGGGGGAGGGGAGATGAGTCCAGGATGACTCCAAGGTTGGGAGCCCAAAATGGGGGTTAGGGTAGAAGCAGTAGTTTTGGGGAAAAGGCCTCAGAGTGGTGGCCTTGTGAACTGAGACTGGAGTAAAGGAGGAGAGAATGGGGGTGATGACAAGGGGTAGAAGAGGCCGCAACTCTGATATCTCAGTTTTCTTGGTAAAGTATGAGGCAAAGTCCCATGTTGGGGCAGGGGGGCTTAGGAGAAATGAGAAGAGATTGCTGCTGGGAGAGGGGTAGGGAGGTGATAGCAAATCAGTGTCATCATTGGGCCCGGTTGAGATTAGATCACATAAATTTGTAGTGGACTCTTAAGCCCTCTTCTCCAATACCATTCAGCTGCACGTGAGCAGCAGGAGGAAGATGGTAGGAGAAATCCAAAATCCAAAATGAAAAGCCTGAAGATGATCATTCAAAGGGGTTGGAGAAAAGAAAATGAGGGGGTTGGGGTGGGGCCTGGAATATGAGAGCTCTGTGGGAGTAGATGGAAGAATCATTATTCAACTTGTTCTGCAGAGAGCAGAAGTAGGAACAAGAAGTGGAAACCAAAGAGATTTTAGGAAACCCTTCACAGACAAACCTATTGCCAGGTGTAGCCCTGCAGGCTTCTAATCTGGGCCTCTGGGGAGAAGGTCAGGAGCACTGGGCTACAGTGGGCTAAACAATCAGGAGTCCTTACTGAGTCCAGCACCAAGATAATGAGGCTCTGAGAGCTACTTGTCCAAGTCAGAAATCGAGGCAGTCTAGGCCGTGGTGGGCTTGGGCACAAATTTAGTTCTGCCAAGATAGGGAGACATAGTCTCACCAAAAGAAAACACAGCCCTGTCCCAAAATGGATTCCCCCCTTGGAGAGGTCGTGAAAAGATTGGCCTTATTGGGTTTTTGTTGTTCTGGTGTGGGTTGGACATCCCTTCCACCTTGGATATTCTGCTTTTGGGGGAAGTTTAGACCTGTTCTTCAGGCCCTTGTGTTTCCCTTGGCAGAAGAACAGTTGACCAGTTGGTCAGGCATTAAATTTGGTTTAAAAAGTAATTTACACAACAGCTCCAACAACATGAATGGCCGGAACTCATCCAAAAGACAAAAGGAAAGCTCTTTAATTAGAGTGATCAAACTTGGTGTGGAGAAAGGTTGAGAAAATGTTGAGACACCAGGGACTGCTTTTATTGGCAGACGTCGTGAAGAGGTTCCCTTTAGCTCAACTGGTCTTTTCTGATCCTTGTTAAAAAGAACAGCTTGTTGGCTTTGGGAAGAAGGCTGGAGAGATTCAGAAAGAAAGGTGACATAAAGACAAAAAAAAATGAGTGATGTTGGAATTTTCTTCAGGGAACTTCAGTGCTCTGTTCCAGGGAGGCTAGTTTTTGTTCTTCTGTGGAGAAGAGTGTCTGAGGAATTAGTTCACAGCCTTAACATGCAGGGGGCACTGAGGAAAGTATTGAAGTGTGAACTAGTCCGTACAGCCCAGGAAGACCTGATGCTGTGACTCCAACCCTTTATTTACTGTTCCCTTGGTCAGGGCTCTGTAAATAAAGTTCAGGTGTGACATCCCACCAGAATTCTTGTGTGCTCTTCATGAAGCTTTTCCTGATTCCCCTGCCAGGCATGCTCTCCCTCACTAACCTGGCTTGAAGAGGCTGAATGGAAACTCCTTGAGGGCAGAGTCAGTCTCACTTCTTTTTCTATCCCCAGCCTCTGGTACATAGGAGCTTACTAAATGCTGATTGGTTGGGTGGGAAGACTTGGCATTCAGGTTGGTTAGAACTGAACCCTATTATTGGCAACACTGGTCCTTCACCCTCAGAAATACCCATGGTCTTGTGGTTCCAGGATATTGTTTGCAGAGATGCCATCCTGTCCCCACTGATGAAGGGTGGATTGGAAAGCAGGTGGTGCCCTGCATGTTTGACATCATCAGTGCCTTGCCTAACCTTTCATGTTCTGTGGGACTAAAACTGGACGGACTTGCCGACCAGCTTTGGTTTAAGAAGCTGTTTGCAATTTGAGCAAATAAGCCAGGACTGCTTCTGAGCTGGCTGCCTGGCCTACCCCAACACCTGCTGCCCTTTTATTTGGGGGAAGGCCTAAGTGCTCTGTGTTTTGGGAAGTGGAAGGAGCCTGGAATGACTGGGAGGGGATCTTTAAATCAATTGATTTGCATCCTAAGTGACTCACTGTGAATGTGGTGGCCCAAAGAAACCCAGCCTGTGTGTCAGTTTGGGTGTGTGTCATGTGGTGTGTCCTTCCACCCCCACCCCCCCAAGTTTTCTTAACCTGCATGAGGCCTACTTTCTTAGGACAACTTGGGTCTCAGCTCCATGCAGAGAGGAAGCCGTTGGATAGACAAATATTAGATGCTGGTGATGAGAAGCCATGATGTTGGCAGTTGATTAGTCATGGTTTTTGACAACCCAAATGGTGTCAGAGGGTGGTTTGTTCCTATATTGTTCATCAACTTCATTGTCCTATTCTCCCTCCTGGGTTCTCACTGGGATTGATTAGAAAAGTTGGGTCTCTAGGGATGCCAGAGAGTGGGTTGGCAGGGTTAGAGTCTGAAATGAGGTTGCCAGGCTACAATGATGAGCCGTAGCTAAGAAAATGAAATGGAGTAGGAATAAATGCACAGTTGTCAGTCTGGGTTCCAAAAATCCACTGCCCATGGACGAGAGAAGCACACTTAAGGTTGTGAAGAGGAACAGGGAGTTTGGGGCCAAACTAAATGGGGGTTAACAACAGGCCCTTGGTCAGAATTCATCTGAATGCAGGGCCCAGACAAGGACTGGAATTGTTCTGAAGGCGGTCTTGTTCTAGGCATTGTATTCAGTGGAGATCTTGACCAACTGGAGGAGCCTGAACTAATCTAAAGCTGCAGTGACTCCCTTTTACCTCCTGGAGCAAATACAAACTGCCCACTGTTTAGCTTGGCAGGCCCTTTGGAACCTGGCCTCTTCCTCCCTTTTCTCCATGTACTCTGGCCTCTTTGCACTCCCCCCTCTGACTCCCAACCCCAGGCCATCTTTACTAGTTATCCTCTGTAGCTGAAATGTTTGGGGGGGGGGTTGTGGACATTTCTTTCTTTTTTTTTTTCCTTTAATCCCACGTTTATTTATTTATTTTTAGTTTTCAGCATTCATTTGAAATGTATTTCTTCTCTCTCCCAGCTTCCCTGACTTCCTTCAAGGACCAGCTCAAATTCTCCCTTCTACAGGAAGCTTTTCCTGTTCGCCCTTA